GGTTTGCCATGAGATTCGACGCCACCAGCAATTCTCTATTGCAAACTTCCATGGAGGATATTGAAGGAAGAGTGTAGAAAACCGTCAGCTCCCCTGGTCTGCGTCTGCCGTCACTCCGTTTTCTCCCTCTCCCAGCCGCCGTCCAGCTCGCTTCAGTGTCGTGTGTGTTGCCCGCCTCTGTTTCGCTGTGGTCGCGCTGAGAAAGGAAGAAGACGAAGTCGATGATGATGACGGATTTCGGTCAAAGGAAGAAGAGATGGATGGTTTCGCCGTCGACTCCTCACTCTCTCACTCGCGCCTGGTCCAGCCGCCGTCTGTGTGTTCTCCTCGTTCAAGCTGAAGGTGATTATTGGATATTAGGTCGGGGGAGCAAAACACAACGTTTTGCTCCCTCTTTTTATTATATTATATATTTAATTTTTGAATTATATTTTTTTTTTATTTTTTATTTTTAAATCTTTCAAAAACCCTGAAACAAAATTCAAAAATAAGGTAGCATTAATTGTCCTCAAAAATCAATTAATCACAATTAAACCAAAATATGACAATTTTGCCCCTATAAAATAATAATTCAAAATAAAATAAATTAAATCAATTAAGGCAAAAAGGGACCAATTAAGCTGACAAAACTCATATAAAAGATAGTAAAATATATAAAAATAATTGAGTTTGTCAAAAGTATTAAAAATCATTTTAAGATATTGGATATTACTAGAAAATTATTTTAAAATGCTGGACGCACTAATAATTACTTTATGATATTAAATACTATTAAAAAAATATTTTAGAGTACTGGATGGGTATCCAAACGAGGTAGTTTTGGGGTCAAAAGCGGCAGCAAACTAGAAGGGAAAAGGAGAGTAGCGAGATTCAAATTACTCACGTCAATGAAAATATTTTATAGTAACTACCACAATCCAACAAGTCAAGGAAATAGACAATTCAGAATTCTAGTTCAAAACCAATAAAGGACAACTCCAAAATTTCAGTTCAACTTCCCAAAATATTGAAAACAACAAATAGGTCCTAGCCAGAGTTACTTTTGAAGCCACCTTAATTAGAGCATAGAGCTATAATTAATCTATACAGTTCCAATCCCTCCTTTAAACCAGTATCCCTTCAATTTATGGTTTAATCAACTCATTAGAGATATGAATTAATTAACTAATGGAATTGGACTTAGCAGAAGGGCCAATCCTCTACAATGTAACGAACTAATGTTCGAATCCCTAATAAGAGATATTCTACATTTAGGGCGCCTGATAATGCCTCAAAAGGAAGGGGCCAATCTCTTATAATGTAGCGAATCAATATTCAAATTTCTATTAGAAAAGATTCCACATTTAGTGTGCCTGATAATGCTTTAAATAAGATTACCTTTAATAGGAGAATATTTGTACTTAGCCAAAAAAAAAAAACAAGAGATATGAATTAATCACTTAACAAATCCCCGTTAATTCGCCAAAGGCTCCCAATCCGTTGTGCTAGGGTTCATGGGCCGACATGGTTGTGTAGTATTATTCAGTAAGCAAGTTAACCTGATCAGATCAATTAAATTGCAAATGTATATAAATAGATAAATACAAGTTGATCTGCAAATCATGTGCTGGGCCGAAGATGGCTTATTATATTCCTGAACCTTCCTCTGATAAGTCACCAAAATTATCTTATCATGGCCAGTCTGTGACCCTCTCTCTGCCAACTTTATAAAAGATTCGTTCTTGGGAAGAAAAAAATTAAGTATGAACACAAGAAAGAAAAAGTATCATACATATGCAGTAAACAGTAAAATATTGATTTTTAAGAATAGCGAACTAAATTTTAGTACTGAATGTAAGTTTATGAATTCTTCTACACCTATGCGTATTATTAAGCTTTATTCTATTTGATGTGAGACTTTTCACATAAAGGCAGGTCCGCATTTGTACTTAATATCCTAACATTTTGATATGATTTTAATGATCAGATTTGGACATAATTGAGGTCTAATAAAAAGCAGCTAGTTTGCCAAGCTAGCATTGCTCTTATTTTCTTGCCTACTTTAGAAATAACCTTCCCCACTGCACAAGCCTTTGGATTTTTTTTTTATTGAAGTAAAAAAATTTTTAAAAGACCAAAAGAGCCAGGTTTAGTAGAAGGAGCTATTCACCCACAACTTTTGAATCAATCCTTGAATTTTCACTAGGAGAGATGCCCACATTTAGTATCCAACAATTTCTCGAACTGAATTGCTTTTAACAGGAGGATACCACAAAAGCATCTATCTGCATTGTGCGAATTAAAAATGAATGTCAGGAGACAATCTACTTATGATGTCATCAGGGTTTCATTGTAAAAATGACATTAAGTTTTATTTTTTTAATTTTTTTAAAGCATGAGGTTGTGAGTTTGGGTGATGAGTGTGTAATTTATGGCGAAGAGAACGAAAATATTCTTGTATATGATGTCATCGAAAAAATGTACCAATAAAATATCTTATCACTAACATCGTTATTAATATTACTAATTACCACTTCTCTTCTGAAAAGTCCGTTTGATTCCACTATATTATTTATTTTGGGCAACTATTTCCACTATATATATATATATATATATTACTACTACATTTAATAGCCTGCAATGCATGTGAACCCATGCTGTGCTTTCTTTCTGATAATTATTAATGCTTAGTTAAAGCAGTTTGATATTTAAAATAGCATACACGGCTGCGAATGACTCCGTACGAAATTATAATATAGCCTGAAGCTTTGCAAATATCTATGTTACAGGATTAATTTCTTATTCAGCTAACGCTGTATGTTGATCAAATATAACATAATATAGATAGATTATACTCCTCAGGTCCTAAATATAAGACCCATTTTGTGACGTACCTAGATTAGTGTAATTATATTGTAAAATGAGTTTTATATTTAGGATCAAAGGAGTATTATGTATTGTTTTATTGATAGAATTTTTTATATTAGATAAGTTATATTATTTATGACCTTATTGATGAAATTTTTATATTATATAAACATTTATTTGACGCAAACATACATGTGAACCCAAGAAACGAAAACATGTGATTTTTTCATATGAAATGATGTATTACGAAATACCAGCGTTTTAATTGTAGAGAGGAGCAGGTAATCAAGAGTTCATTCATTAAGAGTTCAAAATAATCCTAGAATCAAAGCTTGAGCTCTGCATATTCAGAATACCAATAAGAACATGCATATACTTCAACACAAACATTGAACAAGAGGAAGGGAAACGGGAATGGAGTAAAAACCAAGACACGAAACCAAATTCTCTTTCAATCTTCAAACTCCAACTCAATCTCTACAACAATCCTCACTCTAGCTCAACAAAAGACTTCCAAATGCACCCAAAAAGACCAGAACGATGGCCAAGTCAAAGCAAAAGGATATATATGTTTCAAACCCTAAAATTTTTTAGTTTAGTGAAGCACATCGTTTTGCTATGAGCGACAGAGCACCCAGGCCCTCATTCCAGTGCCTTGGTGCTCGTGCTCTCTGCCTCTATTTTCTGTTCTCATTAAATTTGGATTAGTTTTTCTTAAACGATTTTGTACTCCATATGAGATAATATAGAAGAAGAGTTTTATCTTCGCTTTATAAACTATAAAAAAAATCCCTTTTATTTGATTATAAGGTTTTCCAGACACCGGTAACTATGCTATGACTATGACAGTCTTTTTCTTAACCTTACAATGATCCTCGTTCAACGCAAGGGGATGTTAAAAATAAAATCAACTAAATTTTTCATTAGACAAAGAATATACATGGCTAAGTGCCTAAGACTGATTCCGCACGAAAATATAGTGCATAGCCTATGTCATAGGCTCATAGCATTTATAAATAAGTCTTGAAAATTTGTAAAGATACATTCAAATCTTATAGGACTTACTTATAATTAATTTTCACTATGTGAAATAACACAAAACTCCTTAGCGACACTCACGATATGGAAACTAATCAAACATTATAGAATAAATTATTAATATTCTTGCCCACTTAAATTACAAACCAAAAACCCTAAAAATTAAACCAAATAAATTATTCCTAACACTGCAAAAGCCTGTGAGGTTGCGGGGTCCAGAATAAGGAAGGTTACAATTTTTAAGACGATAGTTGATAGGTTAACTTGCAATTTTGTCGAAAAACTAATTCTGATAACCGCCGCCCCATGTTCATTTGTGGATGATAAGTGCTTAGCCCATCTTTTTTGAATTGAATATGAACTTTTTCGTACCCTTGTGATAATGTTCTTATGTCTCGACGAAGATCTGGTTCCTGAAACAATCAAAGCCCTCAAATATTTTAACTCACAGAAAAGACAAATCAGAAAATTAACAATTCAGGTATAATGATTTAAATAAGAATAGCCGACAATGGCCAGCTTGCTCCATTTCATTTATTTAATTAATTAGCTAAAAGTAGATTGGCAATAACTTGACTGCTATGCATAATTTTTTATTTGCTCACATATGCATTCACATTGACACTCCGAAAATTTATTTCTCGGGTGAAGTAAACAATGCTCAATTTAGTATTCTGATGATCTACATTTCTAGTGCATATATTTAGTTTGATATGTTCCTGCAAAAAATATAATTAACTTTGATTTAAACTTCAAGTCTTTGTACATTATCACTCGGTATATTGTTTATATTGCCCCAATTCTTAAGTACTCATGTATTAATTTGACGAAATTCAATTTCCATTATGTTTTTGAGAGTATATTTATGGAATTATTTACACACATGGTCAAATGGTTTGAATATAGGAAAATAGAACCATAAGCAATAAATATAGAACATTATGCCATTTACTAGAAATGTAAATAAAGTAGGATGGGGGGAATAGAGATTTATCCTAATTCAGCTTATTCACTAAGTTTACACTCAGTTCTCAAGTGAACACTTGAAATTTTTACATATCACCAAAAAGGGAAGGGGAAAAAAGAACAAAGGTAGGATAAAACGGGAGGTTCATGTTTATGGCTATTTCATTGAAAGGTAGACAGGTCAAATTCCATTCATTTGATCACAACAAATCTGGATACTATATAATTCAACACTTGGCACATTTGGTAGTATTATTGTCTAAAATTTACAGAGACACAGCCGATATAATACGTTTGATCCTTATATTATAACAATGACAGAAATGATTCCTGAGGAAACACCTCTTACAGGAAAGTTGGTGGCAGCGTGGCGTTAAGAATCCTAGATTGTCCAAGAGCTTATGCTAAAGCAGCTGTAATCTGTCATAAAAATCAAGTATTTAATTAGTTGTTATTCAAAAGAATGAGCAATATATAATTACTCAGTTTCAAGGGGTATATAAGATATACCCCAGCTCCATTGCTTTGGTTGGTGATTCACTACATTGAGACTGTGATTGGCTCAGCTGGAGATCAATAGTGCATGTAGGGTTATTAGGATTCCCATATTCGTCATTCACAACCCTTGCTTCAGAAATCTAAGGAAAGTGGCCAAAAAAAAAAAACAAACCAAGTCTATGAACACTTTGAAAGAAAACTTGAAACATTTAGCTTTTGAATAAATAGTACAGGCTCACTAGAGATGATGTATTCATCTTCCCTCCTTTGTTGTTGTGTAATTGGAGGCAAACTTCTTCGTCTGTAGCACATTAATTACATGGCCTATAATTCGATAAAATGTTTTTATCAACTTACCTTCGTCTGTAATTCTGCATTTTCTTTACTAATGACTTCCATTGTTTTGTAGAGTTGTACATTTTCTTGGCGAATTTGATGTCCCTGCAATAGCATTATATGGGAAGTCAGAATATGTGGGAAGTCCTTTCTTACATGGCAAGATCAGAAGCTGACTTCTTGAGTACCTTGTGTTGTAACTCTTTAATCTCATCAGCTAAAATTTGCTCCTACAGACGAATTAATGATCAAGTTCAGGTTAACATATTTGCTTGTATATATAAGTGGTGACATGTTACATTGAATGCAGGATATAAGTTGAAATGATCTATCATACCTTCTTGATCTGGACTTTTTTCAAACTCATCTCCAGTTGATTTTCCAAGCTTTTTAATTCGTTGATTCCCAGACCAGAAAGTTGTTCACCCGTGAATTGCCTACATTTTCAAAAGGAAATAAGTTACTTGTGGTTTACTAAATTTTTCCATTTATTTTCAGAATATATTCTGGGGAAAAAAATCAGAACATATTGCACTTTAATTTTGAAGCGGGTTCAAAACCAATGTGTTGCAGTGCTTTGTTCATAGCATTTTCGTGTTAGATTAACATTTCGTACCTGTGCAGTTCCTGCAAGTGTTGTAGTTGTTGCCTCAAGACTGTTGCTTCTCTCCGCCAAAACTAACAAGTGCAACCACATATAACGATAGCATTCAATATAATAAGGAGTGATGCAATTGTAAGGAAGAAGTTGTAAGTTCTAACTAATAATACTATCTCCTATTCTTATTTGGTCCAAAATATAATAGCCTAATCTATTTGTCTCTCGAATTTATTTATTTTTTATGAAATAATCCCTATGGTGATTGCACATGTTAAAGGTTCCATGAAAGAGTTTGGTTCTAATACACATGATTAACAAGGGTATTTTAGAAAAGAAATACCTATTTATTTCAAATACCTAACTTAACTAATTTTCTTAATATTTACAAATAAGTTATCTAGCTTTTGTATTGAAGACCAGAAATAGTATAAGCATTTCTAGGTCCAAATCTCTTCATAGCATTTTGTACAAATTACTTGTAATTGCTCTTTATTAGTTAATCTATATATGAGACCCTACTTTCATTCACCAGATAACTTGTTATAAATTTATTTACAAATCAAAATATATTTTTTTTTTAAAAAACAAAGGCCTTAAATGCATCTTTTGCAATTTATATGTGATGTTTTGGGAAAATTCGTATGTCAATGAAGGAAGTAAAAAGTTGAACAACTCATTAAATTTGTCAAAAACATAACATTCCTCTTGAGGGAACCCCCTACCCCTCTTGAGTGAAAGAAAATATAGGGCATAACATTAATTACAAAAGTGAAGGAAAATTTTAAAAAAAATCATTAGTACACCAAGCAAAACTTAATTAATGATGGCTTATATTTTGGATTAGGATCATGCATGACTTTGTGTGCGTTGAACTTGAGGTAGTGCATGCGCAGATAAACCCTGTTAAAATTTAAGCCTTTTACGGATAAATAATGAACAAAATTAATAGTATGAGAGTATAATGCAAACGTTCATGAATGTTTATTGTAAAGTTTCAGAAGTCTGGGAGGTTGTTCACATATGAGGTTAATAAAACTGGTAGAGTTTAGTTTAATCTCGCCATTAATTAAGGGGTGACTCCATTTAATGATTTCGTAAGGGCTACTTTTGAGAAAAAACAAATTGTAGGATATTTAAAGTATATGGTTATGGGATTTAATGCAATTAATAGGGGTAATATTGAAAAATAATGAAGTTTTATGACAATTTCATGCTTTAATTAGCCTTTGACTACTTTTTTTTAAGGAAACTACTTGCACCAACTTCCTCATATTCATTATATGAAGTTCTACAATTACAAGTGGTCATGTGTCCTACTTTTAATGAATATAAGAAACTTGACATAAGTATTATTTTTTTTAATACATGCAAATGAAATAAAAGTGACTTATATTATATCTAGACTCGAAGGAATACACTAAAGGGCCATAAAATCCTTGTAGGAGTGACTTATAATACTCCCTTCATAACTTTGTTTTTTTTCCCCCCAATTAAGCATATGTATCTTCTGTTGGAAGTTTGTTTGAGGCGCCATAAGGTCACTTGTATCTATCATAAGACATATTAATAGAAATGGAGGGAGTAGATACCAAAGGAAGCACAAAAGTTATTGAAGGGTCATAACAAAGGCCGTATCTCAATATGTGCGCGTGTGTGTTTTAAAAATTTTTCTATCCAATATCCTCCCTCTAGTTTTATGCATAAACCGCGCATAATGTGCTAACCAGAACTAGGAAAAGGTAGTTAGATCATTGGTATTGTCTAAACGAGTTAATCTTTCCAATTTACCCTCATCATATGCATCATCTTTAGCAACACTCATCTCTTTCATATGCAATCTTTGACTAGAATCAATGTTTCTATTTTTCTGTAGTTTTCCTTGTTTTTAAATCCTCCCCTCCCTTTTATCGCTCTCTTTCTGTTGCCTAATCTTGCTTGGAGTTAAATATAAAATGTGCTGAAAATTGCAAATATATATTAACAATGAGAATTATATATGCTTTACGAATTTCAGGTGACTAGACATGACTTTTATGTATCTTAGTACCTTGGCTTCTGAAGCTGGATTCATAAGCGGATGTTGTTCCTCATCTTTGTGTTTATTGTAGCGGTCAATAATTGACTTCAAGCTGCCATAATAAGCAGAGAGAATTCAATCAATAAGATGAAAGTCAAATTTAAGCAAATCTATATAATTCATTTATCTCTAAGCAATACTAATCGATTAACCCAGACCATGTTCATATGCACTCCCACGCATATCGTTATAATGCGTTCTTCCTAGTTTTCTGCACATATATCTATATATGTATGAAAATACTAGCTAAAACTGCCTCATGCACAGCTTTTGAAAGTTTTATTTAGAATGGAAGCTAGGTTTTATCAGCTCTCAGTAAAGTGTGGCCCGTAAACAATAGTAATTAATTAAAGATCAGCTAGCAAAAGGAGGAGTAGTTTCTGATATTTTATATGCAAGCATATAATTAAGAGGAGAAAAAGAATATTTAAACATACAAATCTGAAGCATCAATTGCAAGCGTGTAGAAACTCTTCCGTTTATGTGTGTGTGTGCAAGTGGGCAGATATAACCCAAAAAAAAAGAAAAAGTAAATTTCTAGATATCTCATCCAATATCATCACATTTTATCTTGGGATGATTAAAAAAGACTAGAATTGAAAAGGATCTAAAGGAATATTAATCACTTAGATCAAGGGAGAGAAAAGCACAGAGAAATTGCTGCTGTGATGGCTTCTGATAAATCAGAGAAAGGAAAAGAGTCAAATGAAGGTGGAAAGAAGAGGAACCTGGAGCTTCCATATTCATAGAGCTTGCCGGTGCTGGAGAAGACGATGACCCCAACTTGTGCGTCACAGAGGATCGCAAGCTCTCTTGCTTTCTTGAGCAACCCAGTTCTTCTCTTTGAGAAAGTCACTTGTCTGTTTGCTGAATCGTCTATCCTCTTTATCGCAATCTTTGCTTTCCCCATTCTTCAGATCAGCCACACAACAATATTCGTCAAATTAAAGGAGTCCTTTACTGTAGACAGAACGCAAAAATAAATAAATAAATAAATGATAAGAAGAAGAAGAAGAAGAAGAATTGTAATAAAGAGTGCTTATACGCTCGACAAGCTCGAACTCACAGAACAATTATGGAATTGGGCAGACGAAGAAACACAAGAAGAAGAAGAAGGAGAAGACAGGTTTGTTTGGGAAGGTCCTAATAAGACAGGCTTTTTGATGAACGATGCCCTTTGAGGCTTTGACTGCTTCTATTTGCAAAGCTTCAAGTGGGCTTATATATGAGCTTTAGGGAAAAAAATGCGGTTTCCGGTTTTTCGGGGAATGGAAAAACCGCTAGTGGTTTTCTTTTAGAGAAGTTGCGTAACGGACCCAAACCAAATGTTCCAGTTTGGCTACCGTCAGAGAAATCGCCAGAAGTCGATTTTTTTTTTTTTTAATCTCCTCTTATACGCCCTTATATATGATATTGATATTTTTATATAATTATTCAATATAAAATGTTATCGGGTTAGCAAATTCAATTCAGGATAATTTTTCTACTACGATTGTTTTCCAGGAAATTAATAGAAAAAGATATCTAGAGAAGTCAAATTGAGATGTTAAGAAGATTGAAAAGGCTCATCCGGTTTTAAATATAAGATATATTTTATGGTATAAATTAAACTATAAAATAGATATTATATTTAGGACTGGAAGAATAATAAGTAATAGGGCCAGGGGTGTCAGTTATGTCCCCGCCTCATTTTGGGTCCTTTCCAGATATTTTTTTCGTGTCTTTTTATCATTAAATTTTATATAAAATAAGTAACATTTTGATATCTTATAAGGCAAAAAATGGTTTTGTTTTTAATTTTTTATGATTTTTTAAAGATTTGATACTCCAAAATTAAAAAGAATCGAACCATTTGAAGTATTGAATATTTAAAAAATTATTAAAAAAATTGAAACTGAATCATTTTTAGTTACCTAAGATATCAAAATGTCAAAAGCCACGAAAGAAAAACATTCGGTAATGACTCCAAAAATGAGGCGTAGTTGAGGAGGCATAGTTGATACCCCGGTCCTAAATAATAAATATGATAGAAACTTTTTGTTAGAAAACAAATGATAGCAAAACTTAAAAAGAGGCAAACTTAGCCGCGCGTGCAGTTGCTAATAACAAAACCCACAGCAGTACTAACTCAGAAAAATTGAGGGTTTTGAGCAATTTGAGGCCCCGACTTATCTTCGGCCATCAATCTCATCTTGGGAGCATTTTGTAGCCAGGGAACTGGGGGTTTAGGTCTTGAAGTGGAGATTGAGTTAGGATTTAAAGATTTTAACAGTTTCTCGTGGTTCATCTTCTCCATGTTTCTTTTCTCCTCTCTCGTTCAATACTTATGCTGAATTTTGTGCATTTTCTCATTGGAATTCCGAACATGTGTGGCTAAAGTTTTGATTCTAGTATTATTTTGGACTCTTTTATGAATTGAATACTCATTTTCCCTTTATATTTGTAATTAATGATATGATTTTGTTAACTCTGGTAAAAAAGAAAAAAAAGAAATGATTTTGTTAACTTTACTTGATGATTAATTCTTCTTGTTGATTGGCCACTGATGAGATTGTTGAGTTTGTTTGATTGATATTTGAAAGAGCATGGTTAAGTGTAAAATTTGAGTTTAATCATGTGAAAACTTAAAATTTGCGAGTTGAATGGGGTTTAATTAGTTAATTAAAAGATTAATGAATCAATTGAACTAAATACCTATTTGGAGACTCAAGAGGGTGCTCATGGGTAATGTTGCGTCCTTGGGAATGTAATTGAGTAGTGCTCTTGAAATGTAAGGGAATAAATAATCGTAGGCCCCATTTTATGCTTGAAGTTCAAGAATCACTTGTTTTTATTAATTTCTAATTTTAAAAATAGTTTATCCTCACTCTTGATATTTGTGTCTCTCAAATATATTAGTTAAAAGTGTAATAATTAATATTTAATCAGGTTTTAAAAGTAAATACTTGTGAGAATGATATTTTTCTCATCATTTTATTACTTGTCACAATTAATACACTTGCTGTGCGGGCAGTCATGCAAAATAAATCCAAATAAAAAGGTTAACATCACCAAATTAAAATGAAATTATTTTTATATTTTATTTTAAAATTAAGATATTGAGCCAAATATATTTTCTCACAAAATAAAATAAAATAAAAATAAATATATAATAAAGACAATAAACGCAAGCTCTTTTTATTTTATTCATAATTATAATTTATTATTTATATGAGAAATTTAAAATAAAAAATCAAGTTAAAATAAAAATAAAAATAAACATTTCATAATTTATTATTAATATGCGAAAAAAATATATAAAGTCATCACTTTGTAATTAATATACAAAAAAAAATACATAAATCGCAATCTCATTCTTTTAAGCCTTTGATTCTTTCACGAATGACATTAATTCACATTACTAATCCCTTTAAGCCTATGGATAACCTGTCCATTATGGCTTCTAATAAGATAATCTTATCTATTCAGTAACTGCTCGATTTCAAGCATTATATATAAGCATAAGCGCAGGAAAAACTAATGATTAAATGATTAAACAACCAACTTTGATTAGCATGAGTAGTAAGAGTTTATGTCCTTACAGCCGATGGTTAGGGATTCAATTCTTAATTTTTATGTACAAAGCAAGTATGGTTATAAAAAAAGCCTCTTTGCGCTTAATATTTCAAGGGAAATTAGACTTTATGGTCAATGCAAGAGTGGAGATTTGGGAACTAATCAAATGCATAGATAAAGAAATATTCATCATAAGCTTCAATTATAACGAATTAAGGATGAAGGACTTGGGAGGTTAGTTCAAAAGAAGAATGGAGTGAGACCAGAAGAGGAAAGAAACTAATTAAGGCCTGTGATGCTTGTAAATGACGCTCGTACCCACTTAAATATAAATCCAATAAATTTGAAAAAATTGGGATCAATGACTTATAATTGGCAAACTATAACAAGCACCTAATGACTCTTCACTTAGCCTTCTACCAATTAACCGCTCCAATTAGAACTCTCCACAGGTAGCTAGTCCTCTCCGGTTAGCCAATTCTCAGTGAAAGCAAATCATTGCAACAGGTGCAAGTACCATAACCCAGAAGCTAGTTATTGAAGTTGGGGAACGCAAAACATTATAACACTCATGTTTAAAAGTAACTCTCCTATGCGAGACTCATGACATAAACATATTTTTTTTAAAAATAGGCATGCACAAAAATCTAAAGTCTATCTATACATTTTCTGCATCTTTCTATTCCACCATCTGCGTGTGCTTTTGTAATTCAGGTCCTTTTCTCCAAGTATATTTGTCAATAAGTTCTTAGCCTCAATTTCTCCAATAAACTATTCTTTAGAATGCAAAGCATGTGATACCGTACGCACGCTCTTCCTAATGTCATCAATACCAAAGAGGGAGTTTGCAATAAGACAACAGTGTTTACTTTAATTTCACAGTATTGTCTAAAATCTTATTCTGATAAATGACCGTACCATAATATTTAATTGTTGATAAGTGCTTGGACCGTTAATAAGGTGCATCTTTATCTTTCAATTAAATAAGAGACTCTTTGGATCTACGGTGTGCAATTTGTCCAGTCCACGTGATCATGTTCTTGCATCCCGACGAAGATTTGTTTCCTGGAACAATGAAAGCCATCAAATATTTTAATTAACACAAATGAGAAAACAGAAAATTAACAATTTATGTATAATGTTCTTAACTAGGAATGGCGAAGGTTCAAACAAAAAAAAAAATTGATGGATACGTTGGTCATGGTACAAATGTGGCGCCCTAATTTCATAACATTTATATCTTTTATGTTATTCAATCGACGGAAATTGACACATTCTATATACTCCCTCTAATTCTTAGGAGAGTTTTAGGACAAATCTCTTAATCCGTTATTGAGAAACAACAAACTTTTATTTAAAATATTTATTATAGTTTTTCTTCTCATTATAATGTGAATATTTATAAAAAACACCAAAGTGGTTTTTTTAAATAAAAATGTCAATTTTATTTGAAACCAAATAAAAAAAATTACATCAACAGGCCGGCCGGTTATATTAGCAATTTAAGCAATGTCCAAATGCACTAAAAGGGAAGGCCAATCCAACACGACAGAAATAAGAAAAATGAACAGACCAACAATAAAGACAACAGAAGAAACTAACATAACAATAACTAAAAAGATCCATGCAACATCTCAAAAACTAAAGCAGACTTGAATCTGATTGTAATCCTCAATTCTTGCCAACAGATCTGAGACAACCGAAAGCAAGTATTTGTTACACTAACCATTTCTCTTCCACGCATGGACGCTCAACAGTACGCACATATTTCTTTAAAGTTGCAGCTTAAAGTGTTGATTACACATTAGAAACTTGGTATTTTTTCCAGGAAGAAATTCATAATTATAATATATTATTGGTTATAATTATTTTTAATTAATTTTTTTGATAAATTAGTTATTTATTTATTATAAAAGGACAGGAAGCAGTAGCTACTATTGCATGCATGTTGTCCTCCAACTTGCCTCATTCCCCTTTTTAACTAATTGGCAAAAAGGTGGACTGACAATAACTTGACTGCTGGAAATAATTTATTATTCGCTCACACCGCGTTCGCACCGTGTTTGCATTGAGAATCTCACAATTTGTTGGTAAAACAATCCTCAGATTATATTATACATTGGATTATCTGCATTTCTAGCACATTTCTAGGAAAACATATAATTTAAGAGAGATCCGCCATGATGGGACTGTGAAAAATTGAGTCAGAACCCGTTATAGCGGGTTTCATAGCAAAAGCGCACAGCTTTTTGTTGCTTTTGGCCACACGTAATCTAAAGGTAGCTAGGAGTTTTGAATGGAGGAGGTTGAAGTTGAGTTGGGATGGCTGCTGCCCTACGTTTCCAGCTGTCTCTT